GCATACATTAACATCAACCAAATTAAAATAACATTGAGCCAGATCAAATTTATAGTAGGTGGAAACAACTAAATATGAAGCTAGAAATGAATTATTTTAGTTCAACTGCAACTTTTGTACTTGAATATGTAATAGCAAATGTGCCTGTGACTTCTGTATTTCTAGTACAAAAAACTTCCCTCCCTTGAAAATAAACTCCTTTGTTTGCAATTAAGTTACATTTCCAGAATATCCACAATACAGAAAACCTCAGTTGCAGATTCAAGTATAAGAGAAATTGAAGAACCAAAAGATAACAGTATTTTCAATTCAGAACCCCCAAGAGTCAAAAGCGAAGTGTGGCAAATCCAGGGCACTCTTGTGAGCAAGAGAAATCAGGGGAAAAATGGGCATTTTCTGGATTTCCGCAGCACTTTTTGATGTAAAGTGGTTGAATGAGCATTGGATAAGCAAACAGGAATTGAAGGCCGCGTCTTCCCAGAACCATTAGTTTCTGAAGATGGGAAAGGGGACCAAAAACACTCATTCTTTCCACTCATCATTTACTAAATATTTCCTCCAGCAAGAAAACTGACCCAGGCCTCAGTTTTGTCTTCTGTAAAATGTCTACTTCCCAAAGTTGTGAGACAACAGCAGCCAGTACGTATCAAGCACATTTCTTGCTTATTTACATCCTCTATGAACTAGGTATTTTTGTAGCTATCTGGCAGGTGAGAAAAATTGGACCACAAAGCGAATGACTTACTGAAGATGATCACAGCTTTGGATCCTAGGCATTTCAACCCCACAGACCTCTGAACAACTAACCCAGTGCCTCAACAAATATGTTCCCTTCCTTCTCAGCCAATTATAGTACTAGCATCACTTAAGGAAAAAAAAGAAAATGTCATATTTTTAAAGCAACCTATTATATGCCTGGTATGGTAAATTAATTTGTCTTTGTAATGACTTATGAAGTTGGTTTAGATTTCAAATAAGCTTATTCCTTCCCCAGTGAAATGGGGAAAACCATTCTCAAATTGATTTTCTGACATAAATCTGCCTGTGTTTGAGCCCCATGAGCCCAGTTTTCCCAAGACCTGATTACAATTCTGGGGGAAAAAAATGGATCATCCAGGTTCCACATCTACAGAATTAATAATGCTGTGCGACAGCAGCCCTGAGACCCACCAAGGTTCTAGAATATAAAATATACTACCTATGGCACTTTTATCTCCAAACTTCTGCAAAAGTCATGCAAAAAGGAAAGGCAGCAGAGACCTGTCTGTGTGTCCCACTCTCAACTCTGCCTGGATAAACCGAATCTCCACTACATATATCATCTGATCTTTAAAACAAAACCATTAAGCTCTATATTTTATTTGAAATTTTCCAGGATACTGAAGTCCTAACTGTAACTCGGCTATCAAATACTACTTAAGAAAAACAACTCAAAGAATCTTCCAGTGTATTTGCAAAGCATCTCATATGCATTTTAAATACATGATCCAGAGAAATAACTGCCCAAAGGGAAGCCATAAAGTTATTAAATCCAAAGTTTCTCATTCTCTTGAAAAGTTCTTTCTGTTCCACTTCAGAAATGTACTGTTACTAATATTGGTAGCCTTTAGACATTTGTAATTTGGTCAACCAAAACTTAGGAAAAATTGTTTATTTAAAAACAAAAGAATGCAAGCACAAAACTGATTTCAATTTGTATGGATTTTTTTGGTTTGTGTGGGCGTGGCATCTAAGGATATTATTATTTCTCGGTAATGACCACTTTTAGATTCCAACCCTTAAACATGATCCAAATGCAGGAGAAATCAGGAAAGAAGCAGCGGACGTGGTGCTGCTTATCGAATGTCTAGACTGCAGGCAAACCCCAAATACCAAAGAAGCATCCATGTGTCAAACCAGCATAATTTCTGAGCTATGCCTGGGGCCACATACCGAAAAAAAAAGTTAGCTTGAAAAGAAAATCTAAGAGGGGTAACCAGAAGGTCAACCCCAGTTCACAGGAACTCTGAAGCAGCTAGCAGGGCTAGCTAGCCCTTACCCTGTCATCCTCCTGAGCAGCTTCCTCCCCAGCCCCCAGAGAAAATCTCCAAGAAAGGCCTAACTCCTATGTGCTAGCTTCTTCAAGGTCGTCCAGCGATAAGGCAGTGAACACTGGGCAAGCGTTACCTCCAGGACCAAGCAAGATCCCCCTTCCCCAAGTCATTATATAAATACTTAAATGCCACCAGGCTTTTCTGCAACTCCACCAGAAACAAACTCGCAGAATTTAATTTAGATTGAGCAACTAACAAACGTGGTCGGTTTTGCAACATATAAATTATTAAAAGGCTTTTCGAGTCCGGCAAACCCCAGCTCAAAAACAGGTGCTTTCAGAGTACGTTTAATGACAAGGTCAAATTCATTTTTTTTTAATTATCAGAAGAAAAATGGGGGTTGGGGGGCTTCTTAATCTTGCTTAGGACAACGTGAGTGAGGAGTGCGTGAGGGAAGGAGTGCTGGGGTGAAACTGTCTCGCACAGGGTCCACGTCCGGCTAAACAGTCATTCCTGGGCTTCCGAGTGCCTGCAGTAACCGAAGGTTAGAGGGAGAAAATAAAAACAAAGAAACCTACCAGGGTCAGAGTTGCGAGAACAAACTCTGCACCGCCCTACCCACCCACCCCCAACAAGCCACCCTCCCACCAAAACAGCCCTCGCCCCTCCCGGCCCCCCCACGTAAACACACAAAGAAAAGGGCTGCACGCACGGTTCGCCCACGGTCCTCACTTCCCTTTGTAGGACAACGGGAGCCCCGAAACTTCCCCGCGGTGGTTTTCCGGGCGTCGTCGGGGCCGGGGCCCCTCGGGCGCGCGGG